ATGTGGTGTATGCAATTAAGTGCAGTCAGGAGTGCAATGACTTGTACATTGGTGAAACTAAGCATCCGCTTCACAAACACATGGCTCAACACAGGAGGGCCAACTCCAGTGGACCAGAGTCAGCAGTCCACCTCCACCTGAAGGACAAAGGACATTCTTTTGAGGACAGTGAAGTCCAGATCCTCTCCAGAGAACATCGCTAGTTTGAGAGAGGAGTTAAGGAAGCGATTTTTGTAAAAATAGAACACCCCTCACTAAATAGGAGTGGTGGACTAAGACACAACTTGTCATACATCTACAACTCTGTTTTGAGATCTCTGCCCAAACATGCCCACCAGGACAATAGGCATCGGTCCACAGGTGAGGGTTCAAAGACAGGTAACGACGCTCACCGATACTGGGCTATAATGACTCAGTCGTTAGGGGACATTGTTGGGCATCAAAGGACTGAAACACCACCGAGGGGGATAAATATCTCTGACTCAACGCCAGTCGGGCAGAGCTGATGAAGCCTCTTGGATGAGAGGTGAAACATCTTCGACCTAAAAACCTAGTCCAGTTGATTTTTCTAAATTTTTTCATCTTACTATGACCTGGATGACTGAGAATCTGCGCAGACATGTCTGTGTCTGTACTTAGTTACCAGATGAAAATTTTAGAGAGGCTAATTTTCCTCTCTAATGTAATTATTGATGCTATCGCAGATCTTATCTGTGTTCCATTCAGAGGCAGATTAAAGCAAATATACACAGATCAACTCTTCTCTCTCTCTCTTTTTTTGTTAATCTCTGTTCACTACTCTCTTTGTACAAACCCCTGTTTTTCTCTTATACTTGTTCTCTGAGCCCTAAAAAGCAGCGGCCCTGCCTTTTGTGCCAAGTGACACACTTCCTGCCACTTGATGCTGTGTTTGCTTTTCTGAGCCGGCTCCCAGAGAGCTGTTGTTGTCCACTGCTGTTTTAGCATTCATGCTTTTCCCTCTCTTTCTACCCTGAACAAACTCCAGCACCCAACCCCTTTCCTCTACCACTCCCACCCTGAACATATCTACCAGCTCTGACCTGGATTAGAACATGTGTTGTCCTCAGGCCACCCCAACAACCACACACTCTCTCGGACACACTGCCCTCGGCAATGTGTTTTATCAGCTTAATTGTCATTGTCTATCTTTGTCACTTAGACTGTGAGGTATGACTGACCCGCCTATCATTGCCTCTGTATGGGTGTGTGTCAGTCTGCACATACATCACACACACTGCTACAGTACTCATGGTTCTGCTGAGCCAGCTGAGAGAGACAAGGGGCGAAACGAATGTGGGCTGACATGACTGTACAGGTCTGTCCTCCAGAAGTTACAGACAGGCTGCGACTGATGGAGAGGAGACAAGCATCCAAACACTCAGCATCTGTTATCCCATCAAAGTGGTTCTTAAAGTATATAATGACTTTTTTTAAGCATTTGACTGTTGTGGTGATTGTTTTGCTTATGATAATGACAAGTTAATGTGATTTGATTAGGTGATTCCTGATCACACTGTATTTCATGACAAATAACAGTGAATGTGCGAACAAAGCCAAAGCCCTGGATAGAGCATCCTGTTTGGCTTCATTCAGATGAAGCAGCTATTCCTTCAGATCCCATTGTGACCACAAAATGCTGCTGGCTTTTCCTGGTGACTTCTTAGTTGGACCGGAATAATTCCTAAGACGCTTTCCTCAGTTATGTTTTGTTTGTTTCAACAAATCAGATTTAAAGTACATCATGCTAAGTAGCATGCTGCAAGGGATAATCAAACTCAGTCTCAGATTGTTGCATGATTAACAGTGATATAAATATTTATTGTATGTAGATATTAATATAACATTTTGTTATATTATGATATAACAAAATATTGTGACAGTAACATGCAACATGAAGAGGAATCTACATTTATGAGAGCAGCTCTGCGATGCTAAATGCTACTTTATATTTCACTTGTATTGTGTGGCATTCATGTGGCCGGCAAAGTAAGAATTTCATTGTACAGGGAAACATGTTTCCTAATTGTGCATATGACAAATAAACACTTTGACCTTGACCTTTGACCTTAATGTCAGCATGCTATCATGCTCACAATGACAATTCAAAGAATACTGATGTTTAGCAGTGTTTACCATGTCACAATCATAGGCCAGTGGGTTAGCATGCCTGTAATTAGCACTAAACTTTGAGCACAGCTGAGGATGATGGGAATATTAACAAATTTGGACAAAAAGACATGTTGACCTGCTTGTGGTGCTAGATAAAAAGTCAGGGCATTGCCAAGTTATTGCAGTTCACCATGTGGGGACCTTGAATGTAACTCAAAACCTGTGTCAGTAAGTGGTAGATAAAAATAAGTGAGGCATCACATTTAGCTAAAGGCACATTTTCATACCAGTGTCCAGGGATGACCCCAACAACTGCCAGGTCACATCAGTGTGCGTGTCAACGCCCTAACAACAAACCAACATTTTGTTTGTGCAGCAGGACATGTATCAGTCCTACAGTTAGCTTTTCTCCTGCAGTCAGTCAGCCACTCACCGTGAAAACACATCGAGCTTTAAATGTGTAGTTAGCTGGCATCCGTCACACCACAGCAGAGGAGTGAAGAAAATCAGAAATTTGTCATCAGTTTTAAGTAGCTCGGGGCATATTCATTACTGCAGTGACTTATAGCTGTGATTTGTAATTCTTGTCCTGAGTACCCAGAGTTCTGCTGTTAATTACATTCACCTGGCTTCACACATATGGATCAGTCACTAATTAGATTTAAATGATGAAAATCAGCAGGGCTCTGGTCCCGAGGGCCATGATTGAAGACCAGTGGCTAAGAACAGCAGTAAAGAAAGCACGTGGTCATGTGTCCAGTCCCAAGCATCACAGGAGCTAATGCTACCATATGTGTACAGACACACAAATGTACCCAGAGATTTAATGCTGTGTTTTATCCCAAACAATTATAATAACATTGTTTCTATTCCCCTTTTAATATGTCTTAAACAACTGCACATCTAAATTTCTGGTTGTTTTTTATCTTTATGCAGTATGGTAACAGTACAGCACAAAACAGTAATTGTCTCATCTCAAGTGAAGAGAGAATTTCTCCAAAAATACAAAGATCCAGCACACACCAGGGATGTCTAGTTCATGTTGTATTCTTAGACAGTGTTGTATTCTTATACAACAACACATTTTAGGATGGTAGCTCTGGGCATGAAGAATGGTATTCCTGCCTGTGTCTTTTTGAAAAATTGACATATCTATTTTCATTCCCTGTTATAAGCAGAATCCAAGAGGTGTACCTGTTCTTTACTGTTGTCTATAGTGAATTTCAATGATTGATGTGTGCTGTTTATGGAATCTCTGAAATAGAGAATTTTTTTCAGATCCTGTGAAACACATCATTTACAATTTGAATCTTCTAAAGATCTTGGCCAAAGGGTTGTTATTAAAAATCTTTTCCTCCTCCCATCTGTCCTTAAATACATTTGCATAATTATGTGCAAATGGTGACCCAGTACTTGTTTGTTGTACTTGTATGAAGCCTCAGCAACACATAACTGTGTGTCAGGAGAGTCTCCTTGGCTGTGAGCCCAATTCCCAATGCACATACGAAGGATAAAAGACGGAGATACCAGAAACGAGAGCCTGCAACAACAAACAATGGTCTGGAGGAAGTGTTTCCTCCGAGCTCTGTAATCTAATCAGATCCTGAATACCCTGAATATGGCGTATGAGGTGACTATGCTCTGTAAATCACACACACAAAGACTGGACGTGCTACTATGCACGGTCTTCACACAGAGGTGAGATCAGAGAGTGCATTGCAGGCTAAAAGTGGGGTGTAGTTAGATAACCCTCCTCTCTAGGAAACATGACCAGACATTAATGGACTCTGAAGGAACCAGAACAGCATATAATTGCATAAAACTTTAATTTTCATGTTGTTTCCTGTCGCTCTATGACTTAATGGCTTATTTCATAGCCTGTCCATGTTGTCAAAAAGCTGTTAGCGCTCCCACTCAAATTATGGTCACTTTCAACTCATTATCATTGGGTTATATTGACTTTGGTTTTCTTTTGACTTCTGTTTTTTCTCCACATCCTTTGTCTCCTCCTCTTTTCTCTATACAGGATATTGATGTGACCAACTTCAGCAGCAGTTGGAGTGATGGCTTGGCTTTCTGTGCTCTCTTGCACACATATCTGCCCGCCCATATCCCTTACCAGGAACTAATCAGTCAAGATAAGGTAGAAAACTACAGTAAGACTGAACACAAACACAGTGAATTACTATATTCACATCAGCATCCAGTCTCCTTGACATGCAGGTCAGTACCTCACCAGCAGGTGATCAAACTAAGCACGTTAAAGAGAAATCAGTGTATTCATAGAAAGGACACATGCTGTGGCTCAGGAGGTAGAGCGGGTTGTCTTCTAACCAGCAGATTATTCATTTGATTCTTGACTTGTCCAGTCCACATGTCGAAGTGTCCTTGAGCAAGACACTGAAACCCCCAGTTGCTCCCGGTGGTGACACCAGTGCATGAATTTGGGAGTGCGAATGGATGAATGGCCAAAATAGTGTAAAAACACTTTGTGCGCTATACAAGTATAAGACCATTTGCACGCATACAGCATTTTTCATCCATCTTTATTGTAATTACTTATGCAGTGAAAATACATGACAACTCTCATAACAGTGCAAAACATAATTAGATAAACATCCTATAAATGCAATAACTACCAGTGGTAAACATACATGCTGTATACTCAAGGTCAGTGATAAAATCAATATAAACTATTAACATTAAAATACACTCCCCACATCCCAAAAATTTGCAAAACAACAGCAACAATCCACAACACATGCATACCACACCAATACAATTGCCATTATTTATTTAGCGTCCTGATTGCTGAGGGAAGAAACCGTCCCTCATTCCAGTTGTGTTAGCCCTAATAGATCTGTATCTTCTACATGAGGGCAGGAGCTCATGCAGGTGGCCATTATTGGAATGGCAATTGCATCTGGAGGAGTATATGGAGGAAATATTTCTAATGTAGCACCAATTATTTTCCCAGCAGTTTTTATGACCTGCTGTAGAGCTTGCTGCTCAGCCCTTGTGCAGCTATTATACCACACTGAAACATTGTAAGTTATTACACCATGTATGCACAGAGATAAAAGTTGAGTAGGAGCTCCTGGGGTAAATCTGCTTTTTCAGCTTCCTCAGATAAAATAGATGCTGTTGCGCTTTCCCACTGATGCTGTGTTGAGATCCCATGACTGGTTCTTTGTTATCGCCACAACCAGGAATTTGAAGTGTGTGACCCTTTCAACCTCTTCACCGTGTATTAGGATTCAAGATTCTTGAATCTTGAATCTAGGAGTGGGGAGTAACAATGAACCTTCTTACAAAAATCATTTCTTTTGTTTCTTTAATGTATAATGCCAGGTTGTGATAGTCATTCCACGTAGTCAACTTATGAACCTCACTTCATTACTCAACTTGATCATTGTCTGAGATGAGACCAAGTATGATATCATCTGCAAACTTGATGACAGGGGGTGTCTGTGCTGAAAGACAAGGTGGACGATGTGTGCCTGCCCAGTCTTACTGCCTGTGTTTGGTTTGTTAAAAAGTCTAAAGTCCAATGACATAGTGAAAAAGTCCTGCAGTTTCCTTATGTGTTTATTTGGTCAGATTAAAAGCATAACTATAATCAATAAAAAGCATTCTTACATATTTCTCTTTCTCCTCCAGATACTCCAGTACTGTATGTAGCACAATAGCAATAGCATCTTCTTTTGACATATTTGCTCTATATAGCAAACTAATGATTATCAAAAGAAGCTGGTCAGATATCCTTAATGTGCTTCATAACTAACCTCTCTAGGCATTTAACAGGTGAAGAAGTAAGTGCCACTGGCCTATAATCATTTCGACATGTAGCTACATTCTGTTTAGGCACTAAAAGGGACTATTGTAGCTGATTTAAAACATGATAGAACATATGATAATAGTAGTGAGTGATTTCAAATTTTTGTAATAACCTCTGCTAACTAACTGATCAGCAGTCCTTAAGTACTCTTCCAGCCATCCCATCTGGTCCAGCTGCTTTTTTGGATCAGTGTTTTTAAAACATTGTCAGACCTCATGCACATTCAGAATGGGTACAATATCACTGGTATTTGTTGACAGTGGCTTGCTCCATATTTTCTCTATCGAACTGAGCGTAAATGTGATTAAGTTCTTCAGCCAGGGAGGAGCTGCATCCGGTGACAACAGGAGATACAGATGCTTTATGATTTGTAATCATTTTAACTCCCCCCACACTCCCCTTGAATTATCTCAGGTATTAAAAAGCATCTCAACTTTATGGCTACGTTTCAGTGTGGTGTGCTTCATTCATTCTTTTATTCATGCACACTGGTTCTGTCCTTAGATCCTAAAATTTATTCCTACCACATTATCTCTGACACTCTTATTCAAACTGCAGCTCACTTGCTCGCTTACCTGGATTCAATCGTCACAGGGTCATGATCCACTCAAGATTATTCATACATCCATATGTGAGAAATTCTGTGGTTTCGTGTCAGTTTGTACCAGTACAGAAGGGAATCTCACATGTACAGTGCATAGTGTAGATGACACAGAGAAGGTTACCACGATACTTTCTGATTGAATGCTTTGCTGAGAAAATCCTGTGTATGAGGTTGAGTTAATACACAATCTGACTTTAATGATATTTATCTTTCAGGCCTCGAGCATGAATTCATAGAAGGCAGTTGCATTAATTTAGCATGGTGAAATGTTCACAGCAGCTTCTCAATACTCATTTTGCTTCAAAGTTCTTTCTCAAAAGTATAGTATGGATGTCTTCCCTCGAGCAAACTTCAGCCTTTGTTTTCCTCTCCCTGACTTGGGCTTGCAGAATTGTGTCTCCAGAAACTGTGTTTCATCTCACTTGCACATTCATAACTTTGCAATACGTTGTTTGTGGAAAATGTGAACCTGTAAATGGTGGAAATGGTGTGCTCACACAGTGTAGGTCATAAAGATGCGTACCAAGAGGAGAATAAAAGTCCTTTATGCTTTGAAGCCATTTTTCAAGAAGAAAATTTTCAACTGTTCTGTGGCACATTACAGACATTGTTATATTGTAAACATTTTATATAGGTCTTCCATGTTGCTCAGTGCTGACTGCTCTGTAATGCAGACATGCAGGTGGTATATGCAGTATATTAACTTGGCAAAACACTATGGTTCCTCCCTGAAGGCTTCAGGTCTTTTGTCCCACTACAACATTAAAACTATACACAAGCACGTGCGACCAGGCCTGATGCAACCTACAGTACGTGACAAATTAGTCATGTCGCATCGGTGTGAGTGTGTAAAGTTAAGCTGATGACATTGTACACCCCATCTCTCTGAATAATTCAATAGACGTGTGTTGGCTTTAATAACTCTTGCTGAGCGCCTTTCCCTGAGGCCCCAAACACCCAACCGCTTCCCAGTATCATCTGTCCTTCCAATAATCCCATTACTACCATCTTCACCCTTTATGATAGATGTTTTCAGAAAACAAATGTTATAGGTGGATTTTTATTTCCGCTCCTCTCCTCTCTCTCTATGCATCTATATGCCACCATTACACATCACTAACTTAGTGTCTCCTCTCTCCTGTAGTGTGTCCTCTCTCTCCCTGTACCTTTCTGCAGGTTGCCCTGGCTCTGGAGCTCTACGTCTCTGATGAGCAGTCACCAGCCACATCAACCTGACCAGTGTTTGATTGTTGTCTTTTGTTTTTTGTTGTGTCTTGTTGCTTTTCTTCTTCTCTCACCCCAACCGGTCAAGGCAGAAGGCCGCCCACCAAGAGCCGGGGTCTGTCGGAGGTTTCGTCCATTAAAGGGAATGAATGAATGAATAATATTACACTTAAATACTCAGACAAAAAACACAGGCTTTCAGACATTTGTTCATGAATGTTCATAAATAAATGTTATTGTTGCTGTTTGAGCCTCCATGTGTAGGGTTGTAGGATGACAGGAAACAGGGAGTTTCAGCATCTCAGCATCAACTGGTTTGCTTTTCTTCAGGTCCGGAATCTGACCCTGGCTTTTCAGGCTGCCGAAAGCATTGGCATCAAATCCACCCTGGTGAGTTGAGCTACCACAGACCTCACACACACAAAAATACATAGATAGCACAGAGGAAACCTTTAAATAGACCAGATGGAAACAGGACTTTTTGATTTGCTAAACTCCAGGATGTGAAGCTTCAGAACCAAGTTGCCTTACTGGACCACTTTCCCTCCTGAAAGTCTCGAGCTTCACTCTGTCATATCAGTGAGTTCTTTTTGCTGGTTTGCCTCCAGCATGTGCTTAAGCAGTGCACGCTGAAAATATACGACACTTTACTTTAAGAAGAAAACTAGCATATGTAATTCAGATACAATTTGAATTTGATAACCTTAGTAACAAGCAGCTGCTCCACTGAAGGATTTGGGCTTTGTAAGCCCTTTATAAGAAAATCCCCCCATGTTTTGCTGTGGAATAGTCAGTCACTTTCATTTTTATTTCTAGTGATGCAGTGCAATAAGCTTAAGGTAGCAATTTTAAAGTAAATTGTTTATGCATTAAAGAACTAGTTAGACATTTTGGCATTGTTGCAGAGAGTTACCGGGTGTTCAGACTGGTCCAGGCTCTTTACTGTGTTTTAATGCACGGGGCTCCATTGCCCTGGGAGTGAGGGCTTGCAGGGGAGGGTTGTAGGCATGTATGATATTGCTGCATTATGAAGAGTTGACACGAGTGGCTTCATTGACGTTTCCAGCCCAAGAGTCTCCACTGTGTTTTGGTTAGCCATGCTGCTAACGTAGCCTACTCTACCTTAGCACCAATTTGTTTTTTTGCCACCAGTGTGTTGGCACTGATTTAGGGGGGGCAGCTGTGACTCAAGAGGTAGTGCGGGTCGTCTCCTAACTGAAAGATTTGCAGTTTGAGTCCTGGCTTGTCCATGTGGACCCTAAACAGTCTGCATGCAGGGGGCGCTAGTGAGATGCCTCGTGAATAGACGTATTTTCCAGAGCTCCTCGGGGCACAAAAACTCTACTTAAAAAAAAAAAACGCTCTCTACCACATTACTACCTCCGCTTGTGCCCTACAACTAGTTGCTCACACTTTTTCTGCATTTTTTCATCAGTAATCCGATAATGGCAAGTAAACGAGATGGAAAGGTTCCTCGCCAGTTAGCCAAAGCTACTAAGGCTAAACCCGACATGAGCCCTGATGAAGATGAAATACCACTCAAAATCTAGAAAAACATCCTCCAGTCCATAAATGAGCGGTTTGATTAATTCAAACAGAGTTTCCAGAGCCTCATAGCGGGCCAGCAAGCACTCACTGAGAGAGCCTGCGATATGGGGAAAAACAAACCGAAGACCATGAACAGCGTATTGGTGGTATGGAGACTTCACTCGCTGAGTTGCGGCAAAAGAACAAGGCTCTCCGCTCCAGTCTCTCAAGCTTGGAAGGAAGATCTAGATGCAATAATATCAAGATAAGTGGTGTTCCTGAGGTTGAGGAGAAGGGGAGGCCAACAGAATTTGTCTCCCATCTGATTCCTAAACTGCTCAGTGGGGAAAGCTTTGGTAAGACGGTGGTAATCGACAGAGTGCACCGCATGCTGCAGCCTAAACCAGCTGACCGCCATCATCACACGGGTGCATCTGGCGCAGGAAAAGGAGAAAATCATAAGACTTGGGAGACAGCGCGCTCTGGACTACAAAGGACAGCGGATCGTTATCTTTCTGGATTATACTGTAGAGGTAATGGAGCAGCGTTGAGGCTTCAGGGAAGCTCTCAAGTTGTTACAAGAGAAGAATATTAAGCACTCTCTACGCTTCCCAGCATGGCTTCATGTTCATCACCAAGGGCAAGTAAAAGCGTTCAGCTCCCCTGCTGATGCCAAAAACTTTGAGACCAATGACAATGGTGAGGTCAATGATTCAACTTTGTGGGAGACTCTTAAAGTGTACATCAGAGGACAAGTAATTTCCTATGAGGCATCACAGAGCAAAGCAAGGCGTTGTTGACTGGAAGAGATTGACAGGGACTTAAAAAATGCAGATCAGGTTTATAAAAACACGACTTCAATCTGACTATAACAATATTCTAAAATTATAATATGAATATAACTCTTTGCTGGGGGAACAGGTTGGTAAAATGTTACTTAAACTCAAACAGAAACACTTTGAATTTGGTGAAAAACCTCAAAATGCTGACCAGGCAATTAAAAGGAAAACAGACTAAGAGGGCCATTTATAAAGTTAAGTCTAGAACAGGAGCAATGTTAACAGAAGTTCAAGATATCAATGAACAATTCAGAGAATTTATCAATGAACGATTCAGAGAATTCTACTATGACACTTATTCTCCCAAGTCACCTACCACACTGACTTTGATCATTTCTTTAGCTCTCTGTCCCTTCCACAAATTGATGCACCCTACTGGGATTATTTAGACTCAGATTTGACCCTGCTTGAACTACAGGAGGCTATAAAAATCATTTCCTACTGGAAAGGCCCCTGGCCCAGACAGGTATGGCTCAGAGTTTTACAAGGTTTGGGGCCTCTGCTCACACTTCTGTTTTTGAGAATGATCTGTCACACCCTCTCAAGCAAAATACTTCCATCTTCTTTGCGGCGAGGCCAGTGTCTGCGTCCTCCTAAAAGAGGGTAAGGATTACACAGACACAGGCAACTACAGGCCTATCGCCTTGTTGAATTATGATCTTAAAATAATAACAAAGGTTCTGGCCACAAGTCTGGGTAAGAGTATAGCAAACATCATTCATCCTGACCAAACGGGCTTTGTCCCAGGGCAATATTCTTTTTGTAATGTACATAAAATTCTTAACACCCTGTATGTGGACCATAGTAAAGGAGATGGTGCAGCTATATTGCCTATAGATACACACAAGGCCTTTGACATGATTGAGTGGCCATACCTAACTGCAACACTGAAAAAATTTGGCTTCAGTAACACGTTTATTGAATGGGTCAGAATTTTGTACACAAATCCAAATTCCATTCTTACAAATGGGAACAGATCTAAACCATTCGTCTTGCAATGGGGAGTGTGACAGGGGACCCATTGGCTCCGCTGTTGTTTGACATTGCACTTGCACCCCTTAGCTGTAGGGATCAGAGTACACCCAGACATCAAGGGCATCAGATTGGAAATGGTGTCTGTGATACAAATGGAACGCCTTCGCCTGGAAAGGTCTGGCAAACAAAATGGACATGAGAGAATCTGGGGGCCCTTCTTGTCTCAGTGCCACATCTGTTAAGGTTTAGTCCCCCTCACCAGGAGCGTGAGGGAGAACTGAGATAGGACTCAAGAATGCCGACCCAGGTGCTAGTAAAAAAGGTGGTTTAATGGGAAAAATACAAAGTAACAAAAAAAAAAAACACGTAGCACAGTCCATGTACATATCACAGCAAAGTAGGGTAGAGATGGTGGAGGAGACCGGGATGACCAGGGGAAAAGACAGCAGAAAACAGGAGAGTCGGAGGAAGACATGAGAGAATCTGGGGGCCCTTCTTGTCTCAGTGCCACATCTGTTAAGGTTTAGTCCCCCTCACCAGGAGCGTGAGGGAGAACTGAGATAGGACTCAAGAATGCCGACCCAGGTGCTAGTAAAAAAGGTGGTTTAATGGGAAAAATACAAAGTAACAAAAAAAAAAAACACGTAGCACAGTCCATGTACATATCACAGCAAAGTAGGGTAGAGATGGTGGAGGAGACCGGGATGACCAGGGGAAAAGACAGCAGAAAACAGGAGAGTCGGAGGAAGAGGACGGACAAGTGAATAAACAAGCTAACCAGGAGGGTAGGCGAACAAAAATGGAAATCCACAGCACAGGAACTGTCAGCGTGGATAACAAAAAGAACGTCTAGCTAACCACATGGAAAAAAACAAACTTAGAGATCCACAGCACAGGAACTGTCAGCGTGGACGTATAACAATAAACATATAACCAACGTACAAAATGCAATCCACAGCACAGGAACTGTCAGCATGGAAAACAAAATGACGTACAAATACATACCACGACTATAGGGCTGTTATGCACGTTAAGGCAGAGCGTCTGCCAGAGGTATAAATAAGGTAAGAGAGTGATTACAGTAATGCGCCCCAGCTGTGTGCGACAACCCACAAGTCACTAATTACAAAATACGACACAGCTGAGGCGCTGATCCTGCAAAAAGAGCGAGCAGGAGAGAGAAAGGCAGAAGAGAGGCAGGTCGCACAGTGGACCTGACAACATCTCCCCGAACCCATGATGACCAGGGCACTATACACTGACATTAAAATATTATAGTGCTGTGAATGTGCAATTAGAACATGATTATTATGGGTCGGTTGCACCTAACCATCACACTGTCTGGCAGCCTTTTGCTATTGCTTTTGTTTTTGTTTGTCCTTTTTAACTTTAGTGTAGTGTTCTTATTGTTTGTAAAATGAAAAATTTAAAAGTAAAGTAGAACTTTATTGATCCCACAGTGGGGAAATTCCAGTGTTCCAGCAGCAGTAAGGGACGAAACAACATGACACCATAGAATACACACGCCAACCATACACATATGTTGAGAAAACAAGATCCAGGTACCTAGAAACCAGACTAAAATATAGTATGTAAGAGATTATCAAGAACAAGAATAGACCTTCCACAGTTTGTCCCTGAGAAACAAGTCAAAAAAGATACCTAGGAACAAGATAAGAAAGAATAGTATTGAGAGGAATCAAGAAAAACAACCAGGAAATTGAGAACAATCGAATATTACTTTCACAATTAATCCCACAATGGGGGAAAGAAACCTGTATTTCAGCCATCAGGATCTCTGAGGAACTGCTCAAAAATGCCTAAAGCTGGGCAATGCACAGTATTTGAGAGAGATCAGGAACAAGATATTGCACATGAGCCTATTTACATGGCATTTCACCCCCAGGAACTGAATATTGCACCTCAGTCGACTATTGCATAGTCCCTCATAATTTCACCTATCTTATCCCTGCAGTGATCCTGCAGTGATGTGTTGTACAGTCTGATTGCTGTGGGGAGGAGCGACCTGCAGTAACGCTCCTTCTTACACTGGGGATGTAACAGTCTCATGCTAAAAGAACTGTTCAGAGCCTCCACTGTGTGGTGCAGGGGGTGGGAGGGGTTGTGCATGATGGGTTTTACTTTTGCCAGCATCCTTCAGCCACCTCTTCTATGGAATTCAGAGGGCAGCCCAGGACAGAACCAGCTCTCTTAACCAGTTTGTTAAGGAGTGGCTTCACAACAACTCCGTGACTGTTCTTGAATGGCCCAGCCAGAGCCCTGACTTAAACCCAATTGAGCATCTCTGGAGAGACCTGAAAATGGCTGTCCACCAACGTTTACCATCCAACCTGACAGAACTGGAGAGGATCTGCAAGGAGGAATGGCAGAGGATCCCCAAATGCAGCTGTGAAAAACTTGTTGCATCATTCCCAAAAAAGACTCATGGCTGTATTAGCTCAAAAGGCTGCTTCTACTAAATACTGAGCAAAGGGTCTGAATACTTATGACCATGTGATATTTCAGTGTTTCTTTTTTAATAAATCTACAAAAATGTCAAAAATTCTGTGGTTTTCTGTCAATATGGGGTGCTGTGTGTACATTAATGAGGAAAAAAATGAACTTAAATGATTTTAGCATATGGCTGCAATATAACAAAGTGAAAAATTTAAGGGGGTCTGAATACTTTCCGTACCCACTGTATGTCCTTCAGCCTCATGTATCAAGGAACACCATAAAACAAAGACACAGATCAGTCTGACAGCTCACTTGCACTGAATCTGGAGGAGCCAGCTGGACCTCAGCACTGAAGTATAATTAGGCTTGAATATTTGACCAAGACCAAAGTTCACATTTCTTTGTCTTATTAATCCTCCATTACATGCTTGTGGTTGTAAAATCGGATGTGGCAAACCATGTCAGTGACTTTAAACTGCTGTAAACAAATAAATTACTGTAACTGACTGTTGCTGGATCAGCTCTACAGGCATCTGTACATTGTTTTCCACTCTCTCGATATCTGCTGCGCAAGCACAGCCCTCACATACAGTCCACAAAGCAGTGGGGAGGTTGAGACATTCTGGAGCTGACTGTACTGATGCTTCTGTGTAAATGTGAGCTGATGGAAGCTGCTGTGATGCCAGCTGAGTGTGGATTCATGTCAAGGCCTGGTTCACCATCTGACTCACCACTGTCAGCCAGTTATTTCTGCACAACTGATGGTAGCTTCACACAGCTGATCAGAGTCTTATAAGTGTAAACACATTTTCTGAATGTGTGACACAGTTCTCAAAACACTAAGAGAAAAAACATCATTTTATACTGACAATACATTTGTCCTGCTTAGTTCACTGTGTCAGTTGCATAATGTGTGACACTCCCAGTGTTTTCATTACAGAGTGTTGAAATATGGGTTTATTCATGGGGTACTTTGCGTCTCTTCCCATAATACTTAAGAATCTTGCACCATAATGTATCAAGTGTAATCAATGGAATACTAAAGGCATTAGACATTGTCTTTATTTAAGAGCCCTGCCTAACAGACTCTGAGCACTTTAAGCTGCAGAAGGTCTGGGCGGACAAAGTATTTTTCTCGTCATCTACTTCTAAAGCCAGAGGAGTAACTGTGCTGATTAATAAGAAGCTGAGAATTAAATTGATCTTGACTAAACTGATTGATGATTTTGACTAAACAAACATGAATGCTGTGCTTTAACCACTATTGTCTGATTGGCCTGGTAAGGGTGCTGTTTGTAAAAAATGTTTGACAGACCCTCAGACTTCATACGTCCATTACTTCCAACTTCTAGATCACTATGATTCACTGGTGTCTCTTTTTCCACCAGGACATTGAGGAGCTTATGAAGACTGACAGGCCGGACTGGCAGAGCGTCATGCAGTACATCTCTCAGATCTATAAGTATTTTGAGACCTGACCAGTGTTGATGAGGGGCTGGAGACCTATGAAAACTGGAGGCACTGCAGCACTTTCCTGCTCGGACTCTCAGCACCTTGTGGACAGAGCAAACACTGCCACTTCAACCTTTCTCCTGCTTAGTGTTCAACAGTGGACGCATGACTGAGGGTCTGTGTGTTCTTGAGAAATGTAGCAGTTTCTTGCCCTTAGTTGTTGACAGTCAAAAACTTGCAGTCAGGAAACAAACCACCCTGTTCATTTATACAAGTTGCAAGTTTTGATTGAGCATCTGATTCACAAAAAATAAAAAGCAGACAGACAATTACTGGTGCAAAATCCTACTGACCTTGTAGCAGTTGACAGTACAGCTGAGAGGGGATTAAGAGACACTGACTTGGAACAGCTTAGACAGCATTAACAGTGATAATGACAAGGTTGGATAAAACCCTTTGTTATAAACTAGCTGTCAGTAGACACTTCATGTGTCATTTGTTTCTGAAACCGGTCACCCTGGGCCACCAATACTTTTCTAAAGGTTATTTGCCAATTATCAGAGCTGCTGTGAATCAGATGCTCTGTGGATGCTTTGTGTTTTAAAATGTGCCAAATCTTCATCCAAAACTCAACTTGCACAAAGCTATCCATGCTCAAAGTACAGTGTTGTGTCTCAGCTTCCCTTCAGCATGCCAATGTGAGTCCAGCTGACTGCTGAAATGTTGCTAAAAGAACTGACCACTGCTCAAACTGAGTCCTTATTGTAAACAAGCTGGAGTTCCACTTTGCAGAGCAGAGAGTTTTTTGAACTTGTGTGAGTTGGACTAAGGCCTGTATATTTTTCACTTCACTTGTGGAACCTGGTTTGTTGTCAAAAACAGAAAATAGACAAACTGTAGATGCCATCTGCACTGAAAAAAAGGACTCACCGGGTCTTTGGATTTACACAAATTATGCTAGTATGTGCAACGCAATTCATTCATATTTCCTCTGTTAACATAATTCAAACAAGTTAACCCCTAAAGAAAATTATGTTGGTTTTACATACTTTCATTGTGTGGGACCCATGTACACATTACAATCAAGTAAATCCACCAAATCTTTTTTTTTTCACTGTGTGACACCATACGAAAATGATTAAACACTACGAGAGTTGCTGAATAGTTTTGTAAAAATATTTTTATGAATACAGATTGAGCTCTAGTTTGGATTGTTTAATGTCCTGAGTGGGTCCTTAAAGTTCCTTATCAGCTACTATGGTACTAAAGCTGCTTTGTTAAGGCACAGGTTGTCTGTGGCAGTGTTACTTTTGTCATGTTTTTCTCAAAAGCTAAAGAAAGATATTTGTGTCTCATTGTCATCAGTGACAGTTTAGTCTCATTTTTATCCTACATTTTTTATGTTTATATCCTCTGAGTATTTTGAGGCAACAGCTGTCAGTCTTTGTCGTGTACAGGTACCATGGTTACTTCCAGCTGTTCTTGTCTGTAGTGAGGTTAGTTTATTTTATCTGAAGCTGGACTCACTCATATTTTGACTGAAAACACACTTTTAACACAGTTAACTTTCAACATCTTGAGTAAGATTTAGATGGTGACTGTCCACCTTAACCCTGGAACTACTCATCCCTTTGGATTGCAACACAGAGATATATGACTGAAAGTAATGTTAATGTCAGTCTACGTCCACAGCACTTCATGTTACATTTTCCTAACTCGTCATATGTCAGTGTGCTGCTGTCTTGCCTGTTTTTGCATCTTCTTGTCTAATTCTCACTGTAGAGGAATTTAATTCATACAGCACACCTGAATTTAAGATGCTTCTTATCAGTGGCAGTGCAACAGATGAAATGACTAAATGAAACAAACATTGTAAACAAAAGATATTTCACCTGGACTGTTTTACTGACCAGGAGCTACAGTTTGGGAATCCGCCAATGCAGCAGGTTGTTGCATAACTCTTAGCTTTAAGAAAGTCACTGCTTCATGTCCAGTCACCTGTCTTTCACATTATTGTCTCATTTATTTTATATATTTTTATTTCCTCTTTTAGTTTTCACATGATACTTTTGATTTGGTTTTCCCTTACAAAATAAACACCGCTCTTTAGGCTGTGATTTAGACAAGCCTTCATCTGCAGATGTTTTTGGTAGATGAGAGAGCTATTTATTTATTTATTTACAACATATGCATCCTACAAATTCAGAATGTCGACAGAAATGTATGCAGTTTTCCACCGACAGACACATAATGCTCAATAAAAGATTGACAGTTTTTCATTCATCTCATTGTGGTATAAATACAGTCCTGTTTTGCTCCAGTTACGTTAAAACACTTTTCCGTAGGCCCAAAATTGTAAACAACTGCTTTCTACGTGTCCTTATCATGAAGTAACCCTATAGAGAAAACTGAAATGATCTGAATATAATGAAATGGATCTGAAGAGAAGTCAAATGAATCAAACATTCGAACTGATAAAGGGCAAACAACACAGGGTCTGTTGCAGACTGAACATTCATGCGCCATTCTGCTTGCTCCTGTAGTTTAGTGATCTTCACATGCATTAAATAATAACAAATCATTTCAGAAATAAAGCACTGTGTACTTTTCAGCTTGCTTTCTACCCTGACTTCTTCCCATGCACCTGAATCAGACAAATGCGGAAGGTAACACAGTTAGAAAAATGGTGTGAGGGCAAAAATGTCTGAGCAGTTTCGGTCTCGTTTAAACGAGCTGCAGCCGCGTGTCAGTGAGCAGCGTTGTGCTTGTACATGCAACACGTGCGTGAAGTTGCCCCCCCTTCACCCAGATACATGCAACGGCTTCTATATCAAACGGAAGCGCGCCGATGTGTTGGATGCTATTCACTTACGCACGGCGAAGGATTCCACCCTCACGAGTGATCGCATGCGCGCGCTGCTACTCATGTTGTGAGGACACGCATCTGTTTACACATCTACATGTAGAACTCGCCTTCAAGTCCCTGTGACATGGATAATTAGATTTTCAATAGTCTGGTGGTTCTGATTAAGTGTTATGGTTACGGTAAAGTCCTCCAGACTGATGGAAACAACTGTGTGAGCATCTGGACGTGTTTGAGGCGGGGCTTCACTGTGAAATTGGAATTTGGTCTTGCGTTTCTCACTTCACTTAAAAAGTGCTGTGGCGGAGACGTTGCGTGACTGCGCTACACATCGTGAGATGCCGCTCAGACTTGCCGCAGCTCGCTCACTGTTGATGTGAAAATATCCCGCGATGATGTGCAGGTTCGTAAAGGTGAGCCAAAACGATGCTCAGTGACTTACTTTCTGTTTTATATGCCACGGGGGATTGACGCGTTATTACGCATGGATTTGGCTGTGGGAATAGTAAAATGATGGGAATATAAACTCCTCTCTTTTCAACAGATGGTTGGAGCTGAAGCAGACACTTGTGGAATATTCCTGCACTACAGCAAAAAGACTTCTTTACCTCTCTGGGACTAGAAACGGGGTTATGGGTGGCCCGTCTCTCTGTGAACAGCCCGCAAGTTTGAGTCCTTTGACACACTTTGCTGAGATGAGTACGTACTACATCGTGATTGAAGTAGCAATTGCTGTTCTCTCAATATCCGGCAACATACTGGTGTGCTGGGCTGTCGCGATCAACACCACTCTGAAGAACGCCACCAACTATTTCTTGGTGTCCCTGGCTGTGGCTGATATTCTGGTCGGTTGCCTCGCCATCCCTTTTGCCATAACCATCAGTACCGGCATATATCTGGACTTCTATGGATGCCTCTTCCTGGCCTGTTTTGTCTTGGTACTGACACAGAGCTCCATCTTCAGTCTTCTTGCTATTGCAATTGATAGATACCTGGCTGTCAAAATTCCTCTGAGGTGAGTTGATCTTTTATGTTGACTTGAGTTTGGGTTTTTTCCCCTTATCTGGTAGTATTGTTGGTGGTGGTTGGTGGTATCTGGTGATTATTTGTTTTCTGAGAATACCAATATGTCAAGGTCACTGAAATGTATGAAGATAAAGGGGAAGATAGAGAAAGCTCAGTAGAATAGTAACGCATTAGCTCAATCTCATTTTATCCTTTCGTTATTTAAATCAAAGTAAATTCAAGTCCTCTTTGATCCCGTTTGTTCTTGGACCCCAGTCTGTAAACCCATAACTCATCTAACAACAGGGCTGTGTCTTTAATTGGCTGTTTAATCACCAGTACACAGAGTGATAAATCACAGAAACACTCTTCCTTTCATTCTTCACAAAATAGCTCAGATTAATGACTGAATTCAGGACCTGGTAGATCAGTATCACCTCAATGATCTAATCAATCACTTTCCTCTGGAGCATAATCTGGAGCTGCAATCCAATAATACCACTCTAAACATTATTTAAATCTGGTGTTAAACATATATATATACACACACGCACACACACTTGATCTCCATCAGTTAACTTAAATAATTGTACATCCTTTTCATTAGTTCACCTTTCATCTTACTCTCCTGCAGCTCATAAAATATGTAGTGATCTGTCAGGTAACTGTGTGATGTAAAACAGCTGAAGCTGTTGGATCAATACCTGGCCACACTTTATCACTTCCATTGATCATGATGGCAAAGGCCACAGAGATTGGCTAGGCATCCTCTGACTATGTGTGCAGTTTGCCTGAGGCAACAGAAACAGGCAGACACAGCACGGTGATGCTTGCTGTTTCACATACACGCTTTGTTATCAGATGGAAATTGTCGGGGGGCGGGGGGGGCTGTGATGTGCTGTTATTTCCTTTACACTCAAAAGTTGGCACCGAAGGACAGTTTGACACCAGCACCCCAGATACTTTACACCCTGTGAGAAGACAAAGTCGCCACACTCTCCTCAAGCCCCCGTCTTCTCTGTCCTGTTTTGTCCCTCTGTCCTGTTGGAAGTCTCAGATAACCCTTTGCACCTTGTAGACCACTAAGTATTCTCTCCCCCACACCAGCAGCACTGCCTCACTGTGGTCAGGGGAAGTGAACATCAATTTGCCTCAGACTGCTGATTCACCAGATTTCATCTTAATGCACACTTTCCTGTTGTCTTTGTTTCAGCACATGTAGGAGTGTAGTCAGTGTGGTAGGCCACACACTGTCACCCTGAGTGTAAATCCTGCTGTGGTGTTTCACAAATAATAAAACAAATGTCAAAGATTTAAGGTTGTATTAGAGCTGAAGAGCCAGACAAGGCTCTGCTGATGGGTAGAGTTCAAATAACTGTGTTTTCAGTTTGAATGGAAATCACATGGGAACTGTGGGAAAGCAGAGTCCAAATGAAAATATACTTCAAGATGCAGACATCTAGTTATATCCCCTGAAATGATCCGTTATCACCTGTGGAGACTAGAGGGCTGTTGTAAAAAGATGAATAAGTTAGAGGAGGTTAACAGTGGTTAAAATGTGGAGACTCTCCAGTGTGGTGTGGAGAAGAGTTCTTGCTGAGTGTTGTGATTTATGACATGTTGTCAAGAAAATAAAATATCAAGAGTTATACTGAGCTGTGACCTGTCCAGGGTGTACCCCGCCTTCGCCCGATTGCCGGCTGGGATTGGCTCCAGCCCCCCCGTGATCCTGTTCAGGGACTAAGCGGTAGAAAATGAATGAATGAATGAATACTGAGCTGTATCTAAACAGGATCTCCAACATCTTCACCAGGTATAAACTGAACGCTCTGGAGTTGACATTTGGGAGATACACACAGTTGTTTTTGTTGAGAGCGTGATGAGAAGTTTGGTATGTCTTTAAACTCTAAATACTGAGCCTCAGCCAGGGGATCATTTTCTTATCTTATAAGAGTGGAAGACAGTGAACTGTGTGAATGCAGCCTTATTCAGCTCTGTCCTTTAATTTGTCACCTGTCTGTGCCTGTTAGAACTACCTATTATGACACTACAGTATGTGATCAATACCTAATATAATGTCATCCTCTTAGTATTATTGCAGCCTTTAAAAATTACAACATGTGGGGATGACAACCCAACTTCCCAGGAAAATAAATGTCTAAGATTAAATCTCATTTACAACAAGTTCTTGAATGGCATGTGTTACACAGAGAGCTGTGGAGGTTAAGGAAGTTGTAATTGCTTGCATTGCTGCAGTGAATCCAAGCTGATCATAGCATCCATTTTGGGAGGGTGAACTCCTCCCCCCCACCCAGCAAGCCTGCGGGATACTTGTATTTTTGTGACTTCAGGAATGAGTCAACAAGGACTAAAACAAGACTGTTGATCTTGGTTAGCTTCACAACAAGATTCACTACAACGTGGGAGTCTATGACAGTGTACACAGAGATGATGTGGAAGCTTCCATTAACCTTTTCCTGTCCTGTCAAAACAGGTCCTTCATGATCACATCTTAATCAGATTGTGAAAGTGTTGTCAGTTTAAATGTGTTGACATGGTTTACTCCTGAGTTGCCTTTACCAGTGCTTGCCAGCATGTCTTTTAGAGCGATACTCACAAATACAATTCATAATGCAAATACTGCAGCTCTGTTTGCACACACACGGGCAGGCTGGGTGAAGTATGTAGACTTCTTGTGCTGTGGGTGTGAACGGCCACCTGTTGGATTGTGTTTGAAGCTGAGCTGCAGAAGCTGCTGGACATCTGAGCAGCCATTTAATGTGCATGACCTAGCAGAGGTGTGTGGCCCCAGAGCAACAGACAGAAAGAGATGGTATGTATGTCGAATGGAGCAGGGGAAGAAAGTGAAACAAAGACAGATGGCAGCGTGTTGTCAATTGGTGCCAGAACTGATCTGTTCAACCGCTCACCCGTTCCCTGCCACCAAAGGCTGAGAGATAGCCAGAGGCAGTGTGCTGGAGATGGACCCTGTGGGAAGCTGACCCGGTGCAGCCTACTCTGTGCTTGTGACTGAGTGAGTAGAAGATAGAGAGAAGCAGGGGGGGAGGTGTGTGAAGGCTACTGTGACTTCTGAAGCTCCCTCGTTTCCCTCTGTGGGCAGACTGCTGTGTTTTTACCTCCCTGGAGGGGGTCACAGGACAGAGGCTGGCCTCACACCACTGTTGAATAATTGACAGCTTAAAAATATTCAAATACTAGGCTGTGACTAGTAAATTCAGTGCATCTAAAACTAGGACTGTGCCAATACCTATTTCCTGGCTATGCCCACAGAGTCAGAGACATCTGCTGCAGCTTGAACCCACTTCCTTATAGCTTGGGTTTACCTTCGTCTCTAACAGTCGTTTAAAGGATGCGACACAAAACCAACAAATAGTGGTTTTATCCCACTAACAACTATTGTTTCTCTTCAGCACAGACAAGAGAGAAATTCTTGCACTGGGTGACCTTTGGTATCAAAAATTATATTGACCCTGAAAATAACTTCTACAGTAACAGATACAGGCGCTGTGGATATTACACAGAAAAAGAGTTTAAATGAAATGTAAAAAGGAATGATGAAATATCAATAAAGAATTTTATAAATAAATACGTATTTTATAAATATTGCAATGATCAAGCACAGTCTAAGGCAACCGTCAAAGACATCAACAGTAATAACAATATCTGTCTGGTTTGGCTCAGCAACCAAGCAGGATAGGAACAGACTTCAGTGAACAGTCAGGACTAAAAGATCATTGGTGCAAGCCTGCCCCTCCATGGAGGACCTGTACACCTCACGGGTCAAGAGGAGGGTGGAGAGGATTTCTGCAGACCCCTCACACCCTGGACACAATCTGTTTGAACTTGTGTGTGTATATAGTACTTTATTTTTACTCCTGGCACATTCCTTTGCTTGATTGCACATTACTTCTTTACTTCTGTTCTCAGCTTTATACTGGTTACTTTCTCACTGCTGCCTTACATAAAGCCATAAACATACACATTGAGAGCCGATGTACCAGAGTCTAATTCCTCGTGTGTCTAACACACCTGGCCAATAAAACTGATTCTGATTCTGAAAGTTGACTTAACAAAGAGCAAACTGATAGCATCAAGAACATGATAGAACCACAGAATTCATCAAGAACATGACAGAACCACAGAATTCATCAGTACAATCTATAGTACCAGTCTATATCTATTAATTACTAGGCCTCCTAGAGTAAAAACACACAGTGTGACATTAATTGATAATATATTTACTAATAGTATGGATAACAAATGAACAGGTGGAATATTAATAAACCACTTGACTGATCATCTGCCAGTTTATGTAATAATTCAGAACTGTACTAGGGTTAAGAAAGATGCCAAAACATTTAAAATAATGACACAAAAAGTTCAAGATCCAGTCAACTCCCTAAGACAAGAAACGATGCTGGAATAATGTCTACCTGGAAGCTGTAGATGGAGCATGTGAGATGTTTTTGTCCATAATAACTGCCCTTTATGAAAACTGTCCTCTAGTAAAGAAAGTCATAGATCCCAAACATGAGGACAACTCGTGGTTAACCAAGGGAATTTGAAATCCATGCAAATAAAAGATTTGTTATATAAATCATTTTTAAAGAAAGGAATAAAAAAGGCTGAGCATACATAAAAGACAAACAAGCTAACAAGAAATATGAGAGAGGGTAAAAAGATTAGTAGCATAAATTACTGGAGGACAACATAAAAGAAACATAAAACACACATAGAAGGTACTGAATGAGACAATAATATAAATGGAGCTGGGGGGGGGGCAGGATACCCCAACAAAAAAGTTACACTATCACAAACAACATGGCCTTGGGTGCAGGTGAATTAGTGACACATAGTGTGAAAGCACTTTGAGTGTGCTGCAATGCAGAAAGCGTTATACAGGTATAACACCATTTACCATAGCACTGTCCAGGTTAGGTCTGAAGGTTCTGGGTTCGGGCCCCACCTGGGACCTTTCTGTGTGGAGTTTGCATGTTCTCCCCGTGCTTGCGTGGGTTCTCTCCAGGTACTCCGGCTTCCTCCCACAGTCCAAAGACATGCAGCTTAGGTTGATTGGTGTCTCTAAATTGCCCATAGGAGTGCATGTGCGTGTGTGTGGTTGTTTGTCTATGTGTTAGCCCTGCGATGGATTGGCGACCTGTCCAGGGTGTACCCCGCCTTCGCCCGATTGCCGGCCGGGATTGGCTCCGGCCCCTCCCCCGTGACCCTGCTCAGGGAACAAACGGTAGAAAATGAATGAATGAATGTCCAGGTTAGCTAGCTATCTACAGAGTAAGCATCAGTATGGACAAATACAAGACCTCAAATCACAGTCTTGAAGGTTATTTGTGGGGTTACTTGGGACTCAGTATTGAGCAGTTGTTTGGCACTCGTGTCACTCTGCAGCTCACTGTGCATCTTCTGTGAATCCATTTGCTTCCACAGTTCTACTGTCAGGAAGAGCACAGATGTGTCTACAGTTCAGTGAAAAACTAATGTAAAAGGAGTGAAAACTGTGGTTGTGAGGACGAGTTAGAGAGAATTGTTTAGACCAATCCAACAGCCTCACCGCTCTAGGTGTGATATCACCACTACATACCCTGACTCTTTCTCTTCAGAGACCAATGTACAGTATTTCTCATTTTCAACCATTTTAACAAAAATTCAAATAAATTGTAATCTTTTGAAAAGTAGAAATAGAAGTTAAAAGTTTAATCTACAGTAGGTCAACCTCATCATCAGTGAGCTGTGGGCGTCCGTGACCCTGTCGCTAGTTCACCATTTGTCCTACTGTTGGTAGGTACCAGCCACTGCAGACTATGAACACCCCCCCCACTCATAAATATGATGCACTGTTATAGGTTAACATAACCAGAAGTATATGAGGTAGTTAAAATTATCCAGAAATTATCCAGCTTCATTTCCATCAGATGCATTTGAGTTCTGCTTTAATAATAATAATCAGTATTATACAACAATATGACACCATGACACAAGCCGTTCTGCTGCCTAATGAGTACTTTGACATTTTACTGAATATAGTAAAATTAGCAATGAAAGATATTTCCTTGTAGTGGCATATTATACAGTACTGTTTCGCTACTTTTACTTAAATTAAAGCCTTTTCCAATAACAAGTCTGTTGACTGTTTGATTCATCTGTGGGTTGTGAGGAAGCATTAAATGCTTGTGTTTGTGTTTGTGTTGTCTATTTAGTGGTTTGAACAACAGAACAAAAACAATGCAAAAAAAAATTCAATTTAAATCAATTAAATTCAGTTTTATATGTATAGTGTCAGTTCACAACAACAATCATCTTAAGGCACTTCACATAGTAAGGTTTAGACCTTACAGTGTTATAGGGAAAACCGTAGCCAGCACTGGGCAACAGCTGGGGGGGGGGAAACTCTCTTTAACAGAAGAAACTTCTGACCATGTAAAAAGAGTGTGAAGATGATCTTTCCTGGAACACGTGAATGCACCAAACTACTGCAATTCACAGTCACAATTGATTGTTCTTATTGTCTGATGGATGAACGTTATTGCTAGTCCAATGTGCATGATTTGGAGACTTCAAGAGAATGAAATAAAGTATGCAGGTGTGACATCAGGACAGGTACATGGGAAAATATTTACATTAGAAAATTGTTCAAATAAATGACCAGACCACAGAAACATCATACAAAGAAATTGTGGTGCCTGTGATTTGTTGTTACTGTAAAGATTCATTCATATTCACACAGTTTGTCATGTTGCTGTATTTGTCCTGTATCTGTTCTTGGTGGGATGTAGCCTACTCAGCCTTGTGTCACCTATTTTGAGAGTGACACTTTAAGACGGTAACCACTGCTGTGTTTTCTCTAGGTACAAGGAGTTAATGACAGGAAAAACTGCCAGAGAGATCATAGCCATTTTATGGATCCTCTCCTTTGTCATTGGCCTCATCCCCTTCTTTGGCTGGAACCTGAAGTACTCCAGCTGCAGGAACAGCAGCTCTGGGTCAGACAACACTATAAACGCTGGCCTCACACAGGGACTGAGTGGAGGAGAAGACTCACTACGGAGCTGCAAGCTCAAGTGTTTCTTTGAGAGTGTGGTGGACATGCACTACATGGTCTACTTTAATTTCTTCGTGTGTGTGCTGCTGCCACTGTTCATCATGCTGGGCATTTACCTGAAGATCTTCACTGTGGCCAGGAACCAGCTGAGACAGATTGAGCTCAGGTGCGTTGGCAACGGGGACAACCATCACCAAGGGCTGCTGCAGAAGGAGATCCGGGCTGCCAAATCCCTCTCCATCATTGTGGGACTGTTTGCTGTCTGCTGGCTGCCTGTCCACATCCTCAACTGCCTCACACTGTTTTACAAGGAGCTGCAGAAGCCGCCGGTTGTCATGTACGTGGCCATCATTCTGTCTCATGCCAACTCTGCAGTCAACCCCATCATCTACGCTTACCGTATCCAGGACTTCAGGAATACCTTCCGCAAGATCCTGACACAGCACTTCCTGTGTCACAGAGAGGAGCTGTACCTCAACTCCAGCGGCAGCAGACGCAACAGAGACCAGATCCACATGACCATCGACCCTCTGCTATAGAGTGTCGTACAGAGGAGGAGTATCTGTGTCAGCTCTGTTGTTCCAGTGTTGAATTTTACATTCACTGAGGTTTATAATGTTTACAGAACAAAGACAAACTGACATCAAATGCGCCTTCAGTGTGGACATTTATTTATGAATCGTGCCGAGCATCAGGGGTCGAGCAGTGACATGTTGAATGCTGAGTCTTACATAACTTTTATATTATGAAGGATTTTTGATTAAAAAAACAGATTGAAGCTAACTGGATTTGTAAGACTGAACAATCCAAACATCAAGTTTTATTTATCACTCTGAATCCACCATGTTACTCTTCCAGTGTTTGATTATTTATTTATTTCAAGACATCTTTGAGAATGTAAAGATCATAAATCTTTGTGTGGCTATATCTGTACTTGTGGACCTAGAAAGGTACAATAGTAGTTGTCTACATCCTGCATTCATACTCATGACCACCACATGCTTAATGTGCAGAAACTACCCATTTTCTTTGTCTTTTTTTATTGAAGAGAAACAGGAGGCTATGGTATTTTTCATATCAATGTCCAAAATAAAAGATAAGACATGCACATACATATCTTTGTAAAGAAGAAATGTTCTTCAGCTGCTGTCTCAGACTAAGTGCCAGTGTTTGCAGGTGTCCCTGTTGCTTCGCTAGTAATTCCTCCACATGTAATGTGTGAACAGGCAGAGGGACACAGCAGTCTACACAGGATCAAACACAACAGGGACTCTCCTGCACAGTACAGAATGCCAGTAACTAAACTAGGAGAAAAGGGAGGAAACTGCAGGCATAAACAGGGAAAAGAAATGTATTTTCTATCTATGAACTCTCTCTCCAGATCCAAAGCAGAGTGGTTCTGTGCATGATTTGATTCAGACCCAGAAATACGTAAGTAGTTCAGCAAAACACACCTGCAGTGGGGCTCAGAATCGTTTCCACGTCTCTTAAGATAAAAGCTCAGGAAGTGGGAAACTGATTGTGCCCTCTATGGAAATACTGCATCAGCGTGGCATGTTTTCAGCTGCTTTGTTTTGAGCCAAGTGATGACATAGTGTTAGCATATGAGCCAGTCGAAAATCTGATACTTCAAATAAATGCAGGTTTTATTCCTCATCAGCCAGGCTTTTGGTACACATGTATTTAAAGGCTTACCTCACATAAAGCACTGACGGTTTGATTCAGTTAGGTGTGAATGAATGTCACTTGCCTTAAGTCACCCCCTCCCCTCAGACAGTCAGGCCTCCCTGAGCTGCTGCAGTCGCTGACTGAACTGAGACAAACTGTTTCATTTGACAGAACAATACATTTTAAGGGTGAAATCTCAAAAAACATTGCACTGAGGACTCATTGTAATCCAACTTCAAATAACTGAACACTCTTCTCTTTTGTGAGGTGGCAAAAATGGACAACCAAGTTCAGTTGACCCCAGAATAACCAATTGTTTTAAAAGGTGAGCTAGATAACACTAATGGTCTGTTTTCAAAGCAGAGTCTCAGAAGATACAGCTGCGACGCTGCTCTCCACCGAGTCGGATCTAGCACCTGATGCTTTGCGCCTTCTCTGCAGGGGTGTGCTGTTCAGCATTGTTGTCAATCAGTCTGTTGAGCTTTTCAAGAGAGAGCTTAGTGAATTTAATCCGAGCAAAGCAGAATTTTATTTGGTGTGTTGTAAGTTATGTGAAAATGAGGATGTTGTTGGTTGCCATCACTACACAGACAAAAACACATTTTACTGACGTTTTGGGTTATTTCCCGTTTGATGTGCTTCACTAATGATGTTGAACCATGTTGTGTTGGCATTTAACAAGTGTTCTTAAGCTAAGCACTTGTCTCCACTGCTTTACTATCTCCTCTCATTTACTGTTGTGTCCAGTGTAAACCCCCCACCCCCCTAACTAACTTAAAGGGCTAAAATACAGGAGTGTGCCAACATTTTTGTACATTCCAATGGAGACATCTACACTGTAACTCCACTGTAACAAATTATTGTCTTTGTAGACTGTGGTGTAAAAATAAGTACTGTAGATGTCCGGCTTTCTACAAAGTATTGATGTCAAACTGCTGCCTCCTTTTGTGAATTTAAAGGTAAGATGGACAATAACGAGTGGATCTAGCGCAACATTCCTGCCTTTCATTCCAAAGTACCTACTGTATCTGTCAATGTGCTGTAGTGTTGTTACTAATCAGGAAAAACTGCCACTGTGGTCAAGCCAATGTTCAACCTTTCCAGAGGCCATTCTCTCTTTCATTCAATAGAAATATAGCTGCAAACAGATACTGCTATTTAACATGATGCAATTTGTATGTATGGTGAATTATTTTGTTAATAAAGGCACTGTTTATATTGTTACAGATTAGTCTTTATTTCTAAAATTTCAAATTTAAGTCAAAAGACAGATTCTATTTACAAAGGACCCATGGGGGAAAAAAAGAGTCATCTTCTAAAAATGTTCTGAAATAACTTCAGCACTCAGACGCACACTACTTCTTTGATGCAGCGTCAGAAATGAAGAACTTAAAAATAAAACAGCACACACATTCCACGAACAGATGTCCAATTCCTGGAAACAGATTAAGAACTCTTAAAAAAAATAAAGCAACATCTGGTATATTTCAGAGAGATGTGACGATGTAGGAATCACTGTCATGTTCCCGGGCTCCCTGCTCCTTGCTGAACCAAAATGTCTGTTTAGCATGGGGTAGGGTCCATGCTGTTCCTGTGGACCTGGGGGCACTGGTCAACCTGCTGCACACAGCACCAAACATTCCTATGCCATGGGGCTGCTGTCTCGCTGAGCAGCAGAGACATCTGCTGATCAGACACACTCGCCTGCTGAGTCACACCCATGGCCTGACAAAGGTAGATGGCCAGGATGTGTTTGCACTGGAAGAAAAGAGCACAGATTCATTACATGGCCATGGGCAGTGGTGTGATTAATGATGCGGATATGAAGCCCTAATGACACTGCAGTAATTTCAATCCAAAGATCTTGTGTAAACACTGGAAAAGAAGGGGGTCATTCAGCTCTGACCTGTTCTAATTTTTTCCACAGATGAGCTTCATTCTGAGAATATGAACCATGAAGCAAATGCCAGAACAATTTCCGATAATTGCATCAAATTATAAACATTTCTATAAATGAATAGCATGTATGGCTTAAGAGTGCACTATTTTTCAAATGGAGTTCATATGTGATGAATAAAAAAGAGTTAAATGACAAGACATCCAGCACTTCTGCATCTGTGTGCATCAGTGAAAACCTTCTGAAGCTCCTCTCATTATTATCAATATTAACAGGTTAATCACTGACTGGTTTTCACCCCAGCCTGTTCCATGCTCACTGACTCACCTGTGGATTAGTGCTTAACATAAATAATAAAACAAACTCAAAGCACAGTGAAAAAGAACAAAGGTATAGAAGTCGACAGTTGGCTGGTTTGGTTGGTGGGCGAGCTCCTTTATCTGTCCTCTGACCAACTTGTCAGAGCAGCCTGAATCTGGTCTGGCCTTATCCAGTCCTGTTAGAACCTGCAGAGCCCTGAATGGACAGAGTGGCTGCAGCATGGGAGGACAGCAGATGGCATAGTCATTGTCAGTCTCCTGAGTGTTGTACAGTTTTAAGTGAAGATCTCATCCTGCACCCTCTTTTAGCCTGACTCTAACTTCATCAGGCAGCGAGCAGTTTGATTCTTCTGTCTTCAGTGTGTTTTCATAGGGAATGATATCAGTGGTGCTAATGTGCTCAATGGGAGTCTCCTTGGTCTGTTGCAGCACTGTTTCTCACACTGATTTTAGCTACATCCTCCAGGGAAATGACTCTGATACTGGTGAGCAAGAGAAGAGGCTGTGTGCTTGCAGATGTTTTAGAGCCACACGAGTGAAGACAGCCTCAGCAATCAGACTAAAACATGACCTGACCACGATACAACGTGTGCTTTGTTTCCCTTTTGACAGGTTTTCTCCAGGATTCACCATGACTGGCAAGACAGTGATTTTACCTCTGTCTGTAAATGTGCTACTGTATACACTGTATATCACATACTGTATTTGCTCCTGAGTTAGTGTTCAACTGTGTAAGTACAGCTGTGTGCATTTGTCTTCCTGTGTGAAGGGTTGGGTTCTGTACTTTCAGGATACAATGAGGAACAAAAATATTTTTTTAACAAAACACACGGATGTCCCAATAGTTCCATAAAAAGCCTCCAGTTAATCCAAAATGCTGCAGCCAGAGTACTGACAGGAACTAGCAAGAGAGATCATATCTCTCCCATATTAGCTTCTCTCCACTGGCTCCCTGTAAAATTCAGAATAGAATTTAAAATCCTTCTCCTAACATACAAAGCCCTTAATGACAAGGCTCCATCGTATCTTAAAGACCTCGTAGAGCCTTATCATCCTAACAGAGCACTTCGCTCTCAGAGTGCAGGTTTACTTGTGGTTCCTAGAGTCCACAGAAGTAGAATGGGAGGCAGAGCCTTTAGCTATCTGGATCAGGTGACCCTGAGCCTTCCCTTAGTTATGCTGCTATAGGCCTAGGCTGCTGGGGGGGCCCCATGATGCTCTGAGTTTCTCTCCCCTCTCCTCTCTCTCTATGCTTCTATATGCCACCATTACACATTACTAACTGTGTGTCTCCTCTCTCCCGTAGTGTGTCCTCTCTCTCTCTGTACCTTTCTGCAGGTTGCCCTGGCCCTGGAGCTCTATGTCTCTGATGAGCAGTCACCAGCCACATCGACCTGATCAGTGTTTGATTGTTGTGTCTTGTTGCTTTTCTTCTTTTGTCTCTCCTCTATCCACTCACCCCAACCGGTCGAGGCAGAAGGCCGCCCACCAAGAGCCGGGGTCTGTCGGAGGCTTCTTCCGTTAAAGGGAGTTTTTCCTCCCCACTGTCACCAAGTGCTTGCTCAAGGGGGTTTTGTTGGGTTTTCCCTATGTAATAGTAGTGATAACACTAAGGTCTAGACCTTACTTTGTAAAGTGTCCTGAGATGACTTTTGTTATTTGGCGCTATACAAATAAAATTTGATTTGATTTGATTTGAAAACACATTAAATTAGAAACTGTCTGATCAATATTTGAGTAAAGAAGAGTATAAATCTGACCAAGTATTCAATGTTCAGTGAGGACCAAAACAGCCCGTAGTCCAACATGTGTGAAACTCACCAACAGACCTTCATTTCTGCAGAGCACAGTGTAGGCGAAGGCCGGGCATGGGCAGTAGTGACAGGACACAAAACAGGTGTACAAACACCCTGAGCCTCCCATCACCTGCAACAGATTCATGCACAGTACATTCAAATGTGTGGCATTAGATCACACAGAGGAAAAGAGGCAGCTGTTTCTTCATGAGAGTCAAGTATGATCTCAAGGCTGTTTGTGTTGGCTGTCAGCTATGCTTGAGGAGCACTGGAGACAGTTTACAGCAGTGGGAAGGCATGAGGGAAAACAAGCTCTTACTGCATCCCAAATATCCGTGAGCGAGTCCAGGCATGACTGGCTGGGCTCTGAGCAACAGAGCAGTAAGGACAAGAACTGGGTTACAAAAGCATCTTTTTTTAGCCACAAGCTCCTCAATATCTGCTGCAACCTTAAAAATACTGCCATCAACTTTATGAAGTATTCACCTTCCTTTTTCATGTTTCTTTTATTAAATTGCAGCACATATAAAAACCTCACATTTTAAAGTGAAAAAATTTCTTTTATCCATTTTCATCTAATTCCTACAATACTATATTTTGTGTGTTTGAGCCAGTTTGTCTTTATGTTACACAGGACACAGACAAGACTAGTGATCTAGAGACAAGGCCTACAGCTGTTCTACATGTGAAATCAAACTGTTAAGATATTATGATAGCAGTCATTGTACTTTACTGCAACACAGGAAGATCCTCTAATTCATAGTTGTAAACCCTCCATTCATATGTGTTGGAGTTCACAGTCTGTCACTGTTACAGTGTAGCTATACCAGATCATGTTTCCCTGAAGTTATCATGTCTTCTAGCTTGCTGATTCTCATGTGCATCTTTTTAGATGCTAACCTTACAGTCCAAACTTAAAGGAACTGTTCTTTTAAATGTTTCATAAGCATGACAGAATAGTGGTTGGTAGGAACATGAGGTTACTTCCACCAACCTCATCATTTCACATTAGTTATTTGGAGGAGACAAGACAAAAACAATACATTTTTAAACAACCTGTATGAGGTGTCTAATGGCCTTGGCTAAAAGAGTGCACATGACACATGAGCGCATTAAACTGGTGGATTAGCTTGACACTTCACAATAACTAATGCCTCCCAAGATGACAGAGCAGGCTTCATTATTCTCCCGAGTTTCAATAAATTACCTTTCTCTGCGACCTGCCAAAGTAAAAACACCTCATTTGTTCAATGTGACACTTCATTATACATAAGGCACAAAAGAGACCATTAGATGTACTTAAAGCACCCCACTGAAGATGAATAAAGCACCAAGGAAAACTATGGAGACCAAGCCAAAGGCCACTGCAGTTTCTAAAGAGTGGAGTTTATTGAAACCCAGCTCACACAGGCCCTTTGTGTTGTCTGCTGGCATCATGTAGCTCTTCACTGCAAAGCTGACAGCTCATACCATCAACAGACACTGTAAACTGTAGTTCTGCACTGCCTGGCATCCATCCAGGTCTCCTCAGCTGAAGACTGTACATCAAGATCGGCCATTCAGCCGCTGCAGATGGAACAGCAAGAGTTAAAACCTCAGCAAAGCTCTGGCTCCATCTCTGCCTGAAATGCTGGTTCTCATGGGAATACGTCTTGGAAAGCCATTCTAAGCCATAGGACTTCAGGGAAATCACTCTGGGAAGTCACTGAGATACTCAAACATGTGATGTATTTGCATCTCCAGTCACCACTGATTGAATACATTCCGTTTGACTTGTGAGTCTTTTGCTGACTGATACAGTATAAACAGCTTCAAGAACTGCCTGTCTCTTGTATGAGTGCCCATGAAAGCCTCCTTCCATCCCACAAAGAGTTTGGTTTATATTCCAGTCAGGAAGGGTTTGGCAAACTAGCACTCACATTAGCACAGCATCACCACCTTCACCATCTTTCACCACCTCGGCATTTTTCTGACATAATATTGATCAAATGATTATATTTGATCTATTTGATATATTTGAAATTGTATTTGTCCTCAACAGCAACTAATATTTTGTTGAGTAAAAGACTGAGGGCTTTGCTGTCCACAGAGTCTTTGTGTTCATAAAGTAGGTGTTTCCTTATCATTGGGAATACACTTACTCACTAGCAGGCCTTGGTACACCATTTCCTATGAAAAGGTCACTGAATGTTAGTAATGAGTTAAGGTGAAAAGCTGTGAAACACTGAGATCTCATGGGTTATTCATTCCTTTTGAGTAAAGCAGAGACTGAGAACATGAGAAACTCAAATACGTCGGAAGCAAATGGGGGAGAAAAATGGTAGAAATGGTTAATTTTCCAGCCTCTGTCTGACATGGTGCCACAAGTCAAGCGCATCCAGTAAACTCAATACTCCATACAATGTAAGAATAAAGTTTGAATTCCAATCATAAGTCTGATGAGCTTCAGGAAACCATTTAAGAAAAGGAATATCTACTCTTTAAGCTTATTATTTATGATCTTCTTAAAGAAATGTGCCCTCTCATCCTCATCCTGCCTTATAGGAAATCTGTGAGGACTTTGACAACTGGATGACACTTTGCAGACAGGCTATGCTTTTAAAATGAGTCACTGCTCTTCAAAATGCCGCCACTGTCTACACTCTCTTCCAAAGATATAATGACATTTACACTGCTGGTCTACATTGAACAAGAACATGCTGTCCTCCAAGTCTGGCAGGTTTTGACTGTCAGTACTCAACCTTTGATCCCCTTCACCTACTTTGTTCCAAGTTGTAGTTTGTTAAAGCCAGAGACCTGCTGAAATAATGTTAAGCCAGAATCTCAGTTATATATTAGTGTCATAGTGCTGCTACATTTGGGATTTAGGTGGAAAGAGCTTGGGTTGTTTTTAACAGCTGCCCACTGAAGCTCTCAGTGTTTGAACAGATGCTATGTAAACTCAACTCTCACTTAATGCATCTATAAGTGTTAATAAAACATAAAACAGACCTGCCAAAATGAGAGGCACAACACACATGGGTCTTACTGCAAAAAAATGAACTCTATAAGATTTATTACAAAGGAGAAATAATATTATGAGAATATTAATGTGCTATTTGTGTTGTAAAGTTTTCCTGTGAAGACATGTGGTTTACTGCCTAATGTAATGCTACTGCTCTCAGAAGAGACGCCTGTACCTGCAGGTTGATGAACAGCATCATGATTATTTAACTTGGACAACTGAGTAGATGGTAAGAAGAAAAACCAACATTCTAATTGCTCACAGCCATCCATAAAGTGCATATTCCCAAGGGTTACACCAAGGTTTATGAGTAGGAGGAGCCCTTGTCCAGTGAGGCTGGGATGATTTCTTTAGGAGAACATAGCTGATGTACACTGTCACTATACCACAAAGTGACTTTCATTCACCTGAATTATACTGGCAAAATCTGAGAAGCTACCTGATATCACTAGGGAGGAGGGTGACATTTACAAACAAACAAACAAACCGATATATATCTTTTTATGTAGAGAGAGAGTTTTTGTGTTGTGGATCCTATGTTGAATGGATACGGTTGAATGAATCAGAATCAAAATCAGCTTTATTGGCCAAGTGTGATGGACACAGGAGGAATTTGACTCTGGTACATCGGCTCTCAATGTGCAAACAGTAAACCAGCATAAGGTTGTGTAATATAACAAAATAAGCAGTATTAACATCAACACTTGACAG